AACTGAAAAATGTAGGGATTTGGGTCACCTCGCCGCTAGATTAACTATACCAGGCCTATTTTCTCCCCCTGCTTCACACCTTACAGTAGGAGCTCAGGGTATGGGCTTTTCCTCATGTCTCTTGGTTGGGATGCATCAGCATTGTCAAAATATCTTCAAAGAATACTTTACATCATGCAAACTATCCCCATGAGGATTACACATGGCTTTTTTGAATGGTTATATTGACATATAGTTTACAACTATTAATTGAAGGATACACTATTTTCTAGGTACCTCCTTGTTAAGAGCTAAGGTGTGTGCACATATCTGGCATTTAAGTAGTTAATTTTGTGGCGTCTGAGCTTCTTTAAAGAAAAAACTACATTTCTGAATCTGGGCAGTCTGCCAACATACCCAAACAAGAATGAGAACAAACTATTTTGACAAACTAACCTTTTCTTCAATGTCCAAGTCCATTTTCTTGTGTGTTTTTGAGTGTATATTATTTTTTCCTAACAATTTCTATTAGGGTGCACTTTTTTCATGTGTGTAATGACAAAGGAATATTTACCATGTTGATGGGGGAAATATGGTATTTTAAAGCCTGTATTCTCTATGGAAATCCATGTTTTATTTTCACTCTGTTCTGATCATAGAAGTATCCATCAAAACAAAAGAGATAGGTAAGGGAAATGAGCCTGGAATGCTCTGCATAATATATGTAATACAGTTCTCTTGTGTACCGCTGAAATACTGATATATTGTTCTTCTTTTTGCTTGAATCAGCAAGACAAAAACTATACCTTATTAGATTTTGAGTGTTAGAAATGGAAGAAAAACTTTTCTTATGTCTTTTTCTAGTCCAATTAAAATAGTTTGCTTATTTAACCAAAGATATGAGAAACACCATACAGATGCATTTCAAATTCTATATGCAGAATGTGCATTGCAAATTCTAGAATTGCTATACATTTTTATTTAAAATAAATAGGAAATATTAAATAAACATGAAATAAAAAACAGCAACTTTGTATTTAATCAAAAAACATTTCTGGATAATGTATTTAAGGAATAATGTAACTAACTTCAATTCTCAGATTCATGTTATATTCTTATTTTTAATCATTTTTGCTACATTTTATTAAGTTATATTTTTTAAAATTTGTGTTAATTACATAAATTGCTAATAACTCATTTGGCAATATTAGCTATTTAATGCTGTAAAGTTACAATAAAAGTGAATTCAAAGTGGATTTCAAATTTAAGATTAAAGTAGCTGAACTGATAGCATAGCTGTTTCTTTTTTCAGATTTTACTATTTTGACCTTAATTTTGAAATTTACTTTGAATTCACCTTTTATTTCTCTCTTAGTTAATAACCTTGTAGATGTTAAATTGCATCATGAGTTTTGAAGGAATACTCCAAGCAAGCTTGCTGCAGTGCTTCTTGTGTAAAGAGTGTTTGCTTTTTTTTGGTTAATTTATAAAAAAGCTAGACAAAAACTAGCCTTATTACACCCCGGCTGTCAAACAACCAGCATTGTCATTTCTTGGTTGATTAGCTCAGTGGAGCTAAACATAAGTGTCAGGCAATTGTCCAGGGCAACCTGACTTCTCATTGAGCTGCATTGGGAAGTCTGTGATTGAACAGCTGCAGAAAGTTTGCGCTGGGGAAGAAGAGGTGGGCTTGAAAAGGCTGCAGACAAGAGATCTGCAGCCAGGGGGAGGGCTGTGGGAACTTAAGCCGCGAATATGGGGCTCTCTAGTCCTGGATCTTTTTCTCCCTACCTGCTCTGCTCTGGAGTTGGCCAGAAGCGGATTTAGCAAAGTGTTTCAGACACACAGGTAATGAGATAGAAAATCATACTCCCTATACGTCTCTATCGTTTTACTTCTTCTGCTCCTGGCTGAGCCTCCAATGATTGCAGACACATAGGTACATAACAAACATATTTATACTACCTAATATCAAAATAGCATAAATCATTTGCACAATCTCTGTATGAAGTTCTTCATGGCAGTTATGTGTTAATTATTTTTTATTAATTGCTTATTTTTCATTTAGAACAGCACAGAAAATATATACAAACTAAAATAAGAATGCATAAAATGTAGACAACATTTTAACCAAGTTTTGCAATCACTTGGTTAGCCAAGAAGTCTTCTGAATTTAGCTCCTATCCAGGGAACCAAGTGATCTGGTAAACTAAAAAGTAAGTAGAGGCTTTATACTGTAGGTCAGCAGAGGTTTGACATATGCTGGTGCTGGTAGGGAGAGCAGCGCAGCCTGACAGCAGAAACATCTGGGAAGAACAACAAAATGTTGTGCCACTAGCCCTGCTGAAATAGTTGGTGAACACCTTTATTTTCCTCAATCAAGGTATACCATATAGTTTATTGTGCATATGAATTCCTGTGTGTTCCTGTTTGTACCTGTAGATGCCTGAGTGTACCTTTTGATGATTGCCTGTGTATTTGTGTGCCTACCTGTATTTGTCTGTGCCTGTGACAAGAGGTGTGTTAAGTGGTGCAATTTATGAGGATCAGTGGCTTGGTATGGAGTGTGGTCAGGGTGGGACTTTAGGAATGGGTCACCAAATTATTGCAATTTCACTGTGTGGATAAATACTAAATAATGATTTTTTTGTTGTTTTTTGCATTTTGGCAGTGACGTGTCCCTTTAAGGATATTTTCCTTTCCTAGTAAAAATCAATTCTCTACAGAATTTATTCTGGATAACTGCATTTATAAGTCAGGGTTCTCTACTTGAAATAGGAGGTAGAAAATAAATCTATTTTTTAGAAGCCAATGCAATTTCAGATTATAGCTTTCTCTTTCATTCTGCTAGTCAAAGTCTGAATCATACAAAAGATAAGTTGTTTGGAAAAACAATCCAAAAGAATGCCTTTTGCCATGCAGGCAAAAATAGCATAGCTCTTGTGAGGCTGCAGGTAATATTTATGTACATTTTTCAGACAATCAATAAAGTGCAAACCTAGAGACCTACAGCTAGCAGAAAACATAATAGAAAACATCCAACAAAGGATCTTAGATTCACAGTTACTTCCATGTGTTTTCAAATGAATGTTCACAAATGCAGCTGTGAATCAAATTAGTATAGTAGCCAGTTTGTAAAAGAACACAAACCTAGATAATTTAAAGCAATTGGAAAAGTTCTTAGGGTCTTATAAGTCATCTCCCACCCAGTTTTCTAAATCTGTAAACATTTACATGTGGAGAACACTATAGAGTCGCTGTGACCACAATGTAAATTACAACTGATAAACACAGTGGGGAACCAGTATTAGAAAGGGCAACTATATCTAGTGGAAGTAATTAAACTGGATTATAGCTTTGCTTGACTATGTGAGTCAACAAATATGTCTATTGCTCAGACACACAATGGTGCTGACATTATTCCTTCATATGGCTGCTAAATTCTAAGTTCCAGGTTTCATGATCACTAAGCTGCAGTCTTTATTATCTTGTATGAACACAAAATCACCCCATCTAAAACTCACTGACCCTTTATTGGAAGCTGAGTGTAAAACCTATAGTGCAAATCTGATCTGATTTCCACCTCAGTCTGCCATCAAAAAATTTTTTATTCTGAAATAATTAACATATAACCAATTACTATAGTTCAAGACATACACATCTACATTCCATGTATTACTAAAGCAGATCTGAACGTGAAAGGTGTTTATTTCTTCATATAATGTTAGTTTTTTTTTTTTATCATCCTTCATATATTGTACATATATAGGCTATATTTATGTGTTCCTCTACGTAAAATTCCATCAACTTGTCTGTTGGTCTATCAGATTAGAAGAATGTGGTATTTAATTCCTTAAGGACACATGACATGTGTGACATGTCATGTCATGATTCCCTTTTATTCAATAAGTTTGGTCCTTAAGGGGTTAAAGGTAAATTTAAACACAAATGAAAGAATGCAATTTTCAAGTAAATTTTTGGAACTCTGGGGGCGTGTCCAACTTCCGGCATGATCGGACGCATGGAGTAGGAGCTCCGCATCACCACAGATAATCAAAACCAAGCTTCACAACCGAGAGGTGAAGTCCAAGAGGGATCCCATGTCACCCTCGAAACAAACAAAACTAATGGACGCGGTCCGACAGCACAAGAAAGAACGACAGAAACAGGCCCAAGATGGCGCCGCTAGCAGAGCCCAGTCCCCGGAGACTGATAACTACAACGAGACGCCCTCACAAGAAGCGGCAGACGACGGCCAAATTACTAAAGATTATTTAAAATTAATGCTCATGGACCTGAGAGCTACAATTAAAGAAGATGTTACAACCATTGTATCTGGAATCCACAAAGAATTGGAGGAACTGGGTGATCGCACAGATCAGATCGAACGACAGATCCCTGCTCAGCACATAATACAATAGCACACAAATTAAAGAAACTGGAAGATGACAATAAAAAAAACTTTGGCATAAGATGGCGGACATGGAAGATCGATCCCGCCGGAACAATGTGAGATTCCGGGGGGTCACGGAATCCATCACAACAGAACAGATTACCACATACGTAACAACCTTAAGCTCTGCACTGGTCCCTGAACTATCCGGTACCACATGGGAACTAGACAGGGCCCACCACTTACCAAAGCCATCCAGGTTTGCAGCGGAAGTCCCACACGATATTATTGTTCGCTTCCATTACTTTAAAGCCAAAGAAGCACTTCTTAAGGCAGCCAGGTCAAGACCCTCGCTACCGGAACTGTACAGCACTATCTCGATATATGCAGACTTATCAGCCCTAACTATGGCTAGAAGGAAAGAATTCTCCTCTATTACCAAGACCTTACGCAATCATGAGCAGGCATACAGATGGGGTTTCCCCACTAAACTTATGATGTGGAGGAACAACAAGCTTCACATCATAGACGACCCGATAGGAGGATTGACTACGCTAAAGAATTGGAGCCTATGGAACGCACAGGAAAACATCCCTACAACGACGGATACAGTAGTTTCCCCGAAAAGGATCCGGCCAGAATGGAAGATGGTTGGCCTTCAATCTCGCTTAATTCATGGCCGGGGACAACAGCTCTCTGGACCCGACGGACAACAAGAATACAACATCACAAGGAGTCATCTCAACTGACTGGTGTTACATTCGTGCGGGACATGCGGGACATTCGTGCTAAATCACCACGGACTGGTACCTGAAAGACTCACACTCTAACCCAAGCTTACACTCTACCGAAGCGGTGGTGGCCGATGACAACAGCCGACGAGAGTGGTATTTATATGGGGGCTCACGTCAGTGCAGTAGATTACTGGGGGAAACAAAACAAACATTTTTTATTACATGTGTCTTAAGCGTTAATGACCGTGCAAATGTTACTGTCACTGCTCTTTAAGCAACCATGTTGCCCCCCATGATATATAAACCCATGCATACCCTGACGAGGGTCCCCAAAACGTGGTAATATATGTCTAACGTTAACTGGAGACTAGTCGCATTTGCCTACCCAACAGTTTTAGCTAGATGAGAAATGTACTTAATGCACACATTGTTGATAACGCTGGGGGCTAAGTGTCATTTCTGTTTTAGGACTAAGTGCAGATGTTAATAATGTTTGACATAGATGATACCGATTACCATAACACTACAGTTAGGCTACCAACGCATCATAGGCAAGAGTAACACCTATCCCTCCACTAATAGAGCAGAGCACTGGGGATAGAAGATGTGATTCCTATAGGTTGGAGGGGTGGGTCCGAGCATTGCTTGTAAAAAAAACAAAAAAAAAACCCAGCAGAGTACCTCCAATGAAGTAACCCACCATAAATCAGATTGCGTCCTACAACGCTAATGTATTTCCGATACACATCTAAGGAAAGAGAGACTTGTCAAAATCCAAAACCCCCCTCGGCATATACCTGTAACAGCACAGTTTATTAACAAAATCTGGCCCGGGTGCGGACCCGTTCCGCACGACCCCCCACGGGATTCTCAATGGACAAGGAGCGCAAAGGCTCCCCATTGTATCCCATGTTGAACTCTCAAGCTCGAGAGACATTGTAAATACTTATTTTTTGTATCCCCTGTTTTAACCCTGTTAGTCGTCTAACCAATACCCCGACAGCAATAACATCCTGTACCCATATAAAATATCGCCAGAAACTAGGGCACAACAAAACACATACCTTGCCGCAGTCTATCGTAGGGAACATACTCACTTATATACGAAGCCCCACTTCAGATGAGCTGTCCAGAAAATATACACATTAACAATGGCATACCAATTTAAATGCTTTTCCATCAACGTAAATGGCCTGAACAGTCCATTCAAAAGAAGATCAGTGATCAAAGACATGCACAAATCTCAGGCAGCCATAGTATGTTGTCAAGAGACACACATGTGTAAGAAAAACCCTCCCAACCTAATATCCTCTAAAAAAAAACAAGTGTACCATGCTCTCTCACCAAATAAAACAAAAGGAGTAGCCATACTGTTCCATGTAGATTGGGTATTCCAACTTAACAAAACATACATAGACAAGCAAGGCCGCTCCTTATTGTGGTGGGTTCATTGAAAGGAATGCAACTCACGATTGCATTCATATATGCACCTAACAACTCCCAAACCTCCTTTATAAAACGATCGTTAAACAAGATAACTAGCTTACGTGCGGGTCACACTATAATTTGTGGAGACCTTAACTGCACGCTGGACCCCGAATTGGATATCAAACGAATCGAGAGTAAACACCCATTACAGCAAGCCAGTACTATGAGCTACAACCTTAGCACACTACTCCATACGAATGATCTCTATGACACTTGGCGCACTTTATACCCGAAAGAGAAAAACTATACCTATTTTTCACGGGTACACCATACATATTCTTGCATAGACATGTGCTGGGTAGAGCTCAAAAAAGAATGTCATAGAAGTGCAAATAGGTGACAGGACCTGGTCCGACCATGCGCCAGTAATTACTACGTTCAGAGCCATGTACCCGGCTCGTGGACGGAGTGCATGGCACCTGAACAAATCCCTCATAGATAACGCGGATAGGGCCACCAAAATACGTCTAAATATCAAGACGTTTTATGAGAAACACCAGACAGACCCCTCACTCGTTGACACTAAATGGTTGGCCCTTAAAGCTGTACTGAGAGGCCTATTAATCCAAGGAGGGTCGATAAACAAACGGAATGCCTATAGCGAAACAGACAAACTGCTCACACAACTTAAAACACTAGACAGATAATAAACCAAGACCAACTAGAACGCTATCCCAAAAAATTGAAAAGACAAGAGAAGAGCTACATGCACTGTCCCTAATAACTATGGAAAGACAACTACGCAAATTGAAGCTCTCCTACTATATGCAAGGGAATAAGGCGGGCAAAGTTCTCGCAAGACGCTTAAAATCCCAATATATTCAATCAAAACTCCCGTACATGACATCAGCCACAGGGACAAAATTATTTAACCCACAAGACATGGTGGACAAATTAGCGACCTTCTATGACAGACTATATAATCTCACACAGGACAAAACCCTACACCAGTCACTAGAGCCAGAAAAAGATATCTTCCTGAAAGAGGTGAACCTGCCACGTCTGACTACCCACCAAAGCTCGATATTGACAGCTAAATTCACAGAAGACGAAGTACAAAACGCAATACACAAATTGCCCAAACACAAAGCTCCAGGCCCAGATGGGTTTCCTAATCACTTTTACACCACATTTGGGGTACAGCTAACACCGTACCTTACAGAACTTTTCAACCTCTTCAGGGAGTCATGGTCCATACCGGAGGAGATGCTGCTAGCCCATATTGTTACGCTCCCCAAACCAGGCAAACCACCAACCGAATGTGCCAACCTGAGGCCCACTTCGCTGCTAAATGCAGACACAAACTATATGCTAAGCTACTAGTTACACGCCTGCAATCCATCTTACAAGATTTGGTCTCTCCAGAACATGCAGGATTTGTTCCGAATAGGCAGCCAGGGGATAACACACGCCACTTTTTGAACTTAATCACATGGGCCCAGACTACTAACCAAAAAGGTATACTTCTAGCCTGAGACGCGGAAAATGCGTTTGATCGTTTAAATTGGACATACATGCGGGCTGTAATGACATACATGGCTATCCCCTCAGAATTCTCGAAATGCATCATGGCTCTATACTCCAAACCGGCAGCCAATATATTTAATTCCGGGTTCCTATCGCGACCTTTCCAAATAACAAATGGTACCAGGCAGGGGTGCCCCCTCTCCATTAATCTTTATTTTGTGCATGGAACCCCTAATCAGACACATTAAAATTGAACACAATATTGGGAGCCTAGAAACGCTACTAGGGGACCAAAAAGTAGCCCTTTTCGCGGATGATGTCCTCCTATTTCTAACACATCCGGAGACGTCCTTACCAAACTTGCTAGCATTGCTGGAGAGATACGGGAAGATGTCTTACTATAAAAAAACACAAGCACTGGCAATAGGGCTGTCACCTACCTCTCTAACACACCTGAAAACAATGTACCCCTTCGACTGGAGGAAAACCTCTATTCTGTATCTGGGTATAAAACTGCCAGCATTGCACTCGGCGATAATACGGGAAAACCATATACCGCTCATTCACAAATTAGAACAACTTAAGGGATGGGAGGACAAAGATTTCATGGTTAGGGCGAATCCACACCAAAAAAAATGATGATACTACCACACATAATATACCTATTCCATACCCTACCCATTACAATTCCAAATCCCATACTAAAGAACTTTCAGGCTACAATTAATGCACACCTCTGGAAACGAAAACCTCCAAGAATAGCTCAAAACTCACTATGGCGCCCATTCATAAAAGGAGGACTGGGCATACCCAACATAAAACTGTACTATAAAGCCTCAATATTGGCACAAGGCCTCACGATCCTTGAGCGTTCATCTCCTCCGGTATGGCTAGCGCTAGAAAACGCATGATTGCCCACTGGTATGATCCCACTGACACTTTGGGCAGGAACAAAACTTCCCAAATCAAAAACCTTGCTACCGGTCACAGAAACGCTACTTTGTACGTGGAAGCAGGCTACCCCACTATTTTTACAAGAAAATGACCTACTCCTTGCAGTGCCACTTCAGGCCCTGAATGCCGAACAAACCTACCTGCATGTGGACATCTGGCTGAACCAAGGGGTCCATCATGTACGCTCCTTATTGACTCCCGATGGTATCAAACCATTCCCGGACATATCTAGGGAATACCATATCCCGCCTCGGGAAATATTCTCTTACCTACGAATCAGAAATATATTGCATGAATGTAGGCTTAGCTTGAGGGAGCCCAATCTCTTTCCACCATTCATCCACAAATGTATGGGGAAACTACCAAAAGTTAAAGCAATGTCCCTCTGTTATAACACGCATTTACTTCAAAATAAAATAGCAAATATACCCAGGGACAAACAAATTATGTTGGAGATGCCAGAATCAAGACGGGTCCCTCTACCATATATTCTGGACATGCCCACAGATTACTACACTGTGGCAGGATATACATTCACTTCTACGCAAAGACCTTGGTATCGAGATACCAATGAAACCAGAAAGCTTTATATTGCACATCTTCCCTGATACCCTTCCTGACGATAAGATCTACATAATGATCCACTGCTTAATGGCAACCAAAACAGCAATTGCCCACAGGTGGAAGACCGTACAGGCGCCCACTTTGCCAGAGATCTTAGGCAGAATAGATTCAACATATACATATGAACGCATGGCAAGCCGACTAAATGACAGACAAAGCAAACATGCGATGAGGTGGCATAGATGGATGGACTATAGTTTTGGCGAGACATAAAAAAGGGTCATAAGTTATCTAAGACAACACCAAAGGCTACCTAGAATATTATAAAAGAATACCTAGTGCAATACAAGACAACAAGATGTTACAAGATGTCACAATTTATCAATGCTGTCCCCCCCCCCTCTCTCCCTACCCAGTTAGGACAAGAGAGGTACCAAGGCTAGCATCAAGGAATATGAACAGGTTAAAAAAATAAAATAAAAATAAAATAAAAACCATACTGCTATATCAACGCTATGTAGTATATAGGACAAATAGCCAAACGGTTTCTAATATCCAAATTTGTGTACAAACTGTAACAATGCATGTTTACAGATTGCTGCGATGT